ATAATTTCTTTATTATTTTTATCTAAGTTTATATTCATTAACAAATTTCAAATTTCATGCAACAATCTCTTATTTTTCGAAAATTATGACCATATAAAGTTTTAACCCTCCTCAATTTGAGGGGGCTGTAAACTTTGTAGGGTCACAAAAATTAAACACTAAGAGATTATTGCATGAAATTTCAAATTTGTTGATGAATATAAACTTAGATAAAAATAATAAAGAAATTATTTTATAAACTTGTTGCTCCTACATTAAGGGCTGGGGGTTTTTTTGTCCCCAAGCTCCAATCACCGCAACTCTTTGCAAAACATTCTCATTTGACATAAGCATGAACATACAAAAGTTTGGAGTTTGCACAATGCCTGTAAGTGTCAAAACTTAAACATCTAAAAATCAAGTGTACACCACTGTAAATTATAATTTTCAATATATTATTTTGAATTAATGCCAAAAAATTATTACCCTAGGAGTTCTAATAATGTCTGTTTCAATGGATTTCGCATTAAACTCACCAATGATAGAATATTTAGATTTACCATTTAAATCCAAAACTTTTTTTTCAGAATCAGGGTCAACAAATTTGAAATTTTGTGTTTTCAAAAAAGTACCTTTGTTTGTAACTTTCACTAAAATGATAAACAAAAACATATAAAACAAAATGATATAAATATCATATCATATTGCATTTTAATGAATGAATACTATAAACTTATTGAGATTTTATTACATAACAATACTTCAAATTGAATAAATAAATAATTTAATGAAAAAAAACTCACAAATTATACAATAACGTTATAATAACAAATATATATCATAGAAAATATGATATATTTTAAATATAGATAATGATATATACTAATTATGATATATTTTAAATATATATAAAAGATAATCACTTGAGGATCTAAAGAAATCTTCTGCAGCAAATTCAACCTAAACCACAAATATATACATCACACAGCACGTCTTAATATATACAGGACTTGATACTTTTACAACATATTTACAACATATATTACTTCAAAATATCTAAAACATGCAAGTTACTTATTTTACAAACAATTGTCAAAAAATATTAATTTATAAATGCTTTTAAAATCTCAAGACATACATTTTGGTTGGTTCCTTGAAAAATAATATCTTGATCAGAAAAACCATCAATTGATGAAGAAAGAGATATTGTCTCAAAATCAGCATCAATCATCCATTTTATTTCACCATTCTCTTTAAAAAATGACATAGATGACATACCAGAAAACTGGATTTGCAGAACTGAGTATATAATGATCAAAATCTAAAATCAATTTTCAATTGCAACATTTCAAATAAAAGCTGTTGTTCATTTTTTACTTGTAAACAAAAAATAAAAAAAGTAAGAAATAACTTACTATTAAATTTACAAAACATAATAGAAAAATTAACAACAAAAATCCATATGTGAAACATAAACTCTTTTGCTGGACTCTAGCTAAAAGAGCTTCATAGTGACTGTATTTTTCTTCCTTCCATTGAGAATTCATATTAACTTATAATAAAATGTTTTCTAAAACAAAATATAAAAATAAAATGATTCCAACAAACATAATAAAATAGAAAGATTTAATTATACTAACTGCCATGGTTACTAGAGTAACAGATTTAAAGTATTTAAGAAATATCAAAAAACACTTTTGGATTTGTAAACACAATATATTTTAATTTTTTTACACATTTATGAGCCTAATATTACTCTTTGATTATAGTCCTTCATAAAACAGATTCTGTTCTTTTCACAAACTTATTTCAATAACAATTTGTTAAAAATATCACAACGATATTATAATGATAACATCACAATGATAACTTTTATTAAATAAAGATTTCATTTTTTTGATCTTGATTTTAGTTCATCTCCACAGTTTCGTAAAAAAATTGCAGGTTTTAAATTGGTGTTATAGAACTCATGACCCTAAAAAAGCAAAAAAAAAACTAAATTCATAAACAATAATCAACATTGTCAGTAAACATTTATCATTCAAACATTTGATTATTATTAAAGTGGACTGAATATCATTTAAACTAATTAAACATAATTAAAAACTAAAAAAAAGAACATTAAAAACCTTTAAAAATCATTGAGATAATTAAAAATAACTGAGCATTTGAAAATAACGGGGTAAGTTAAAAGTCATAAAACAGAAATGGAAACAAAAGCTTAAAATTAAAAAATTTCATAAAATTGTTCATAAAAAAAACCTTTGTCCAATCATAACCAATAGCATAAGAAAATATACTCCCATCAAAATTAAAACAGCATGCTGTGATTGGTTGAGGACAACCATCAGATGTCTAATAAATTTAATTAGCAATAATCAGTAACAATAACTTAATATGTGAATACAAAAATGTTTTAAAAAAGATTAACCTTTAACTTAGTTCTTGCATCTTTATCCCAAAAACTGTATTTGCCATCAGATCCTGCTGTTGCTAGGGTTCCATGTTGTGGATGAAAAGCAATGTCATTTACCTTGCAGAATTTAAAACCACAAACAATAATTATTAATTTTTATAAGTATTTTTCTAAAAATTTATAAAACTATTTATCAATTATAAATATTTTATTGTAATTATTGTAAATATTGATAAACGTAATGATAAATACTTTATAATTACACCAATATTTCAAATCAAATATATTCTGCAATAAGATTTTAACTTTTTAAGGACTTTTACTAATAGTACAAGTATTAATATAAAGTAAATACTTATAATAAATAAAAATATCATAATTAAAGTAAATACTTTAATTATGATAACAATAATAACAATAACACTAATAATGAATAAACAATAATAATAATAATAATAAAATCAATGTAAATAGTAGTAATAATAGTAATAGTTGTAATATTGATATAAATTACAATAGAAATAAGAAATAATAATAACAACAACTATATTAGTAAGATAGAAATAAGAAATATTAACAGCATTTTTAAATAAGAAGTGGAACAAATTAGCTTAAAAGGTTGAAAATGAATTAAGGGTTTTTAGTTCATGAGGAAGTTATTCCAAGTTTTAATGGTATTTAATGTTTTATTCCATTTAATGTTTAATGGTATTAATTAATGTTTAATGGTATTAATTAATGTTTAATGGTATTAATTAATGTTTAATGGTATTAATGTTTAATGGTATTAAGTTTTAATGGCATTCCAAGTTTTTGATATTGATAAACTCATATCCATAAATATTAGAGTGATGTTTTGAGACAAGTTTAGCCTACTATTGGATCAAAGATTTGCATTTTTAGCAATGAATTTGATAAAAGTTAAAGGTAGGTTTTTGTGTATTAAATATATGATTCTGAAAATAAATTATCTTAGGTTAGCTTTAAAATTATGACTCTGGAAATAAACTATTTCCAGAATCATAATTAAATTACTTAAAAGAAGATAACATCTAATAAGAGATTGTTAATGGAATTGTCCATTAATATATATCTTAGATATGAGCCAAAAGATGTGATTTGATTTAAAAATAATCAATTAAGTTTTATTAGAATTATGGGAAAGTCTGTTTAAAAAAGCCAATGAACTAGATTAGCAAGATCATGGTTAATGTATTTGTTATTTTTTTAAGGGATTTTTTAATTAGCATAAGAATAGTATCACCGAGCAAGCATTAAACAGTAACATCATTAGAAATCAAGAAAAAAAAGCAGACCTAATGCTGAATCCTGAGGGACGCCATTTGAACCTATTGCAAGGGTAGATTTTAAATCATTGATATAAACAAATTGTGACTCATGTAAATACATAGTAAACCATTTAATGGGTGTGGCTATTATCCCACAGTATTCTTTTTTTTTTTAATAGAATAAAGTGATTACTGTATCAAGAGCGTTCTGTAAATAGACAAATACACCACATGCAAAACGTTTATCATTAAGAGCTTTTCTAATTGACTCAATCATTTAAATGCAGCCTAAGTTTGAGGACATATTTAATAAGTATATGAATTAGACATCAAGCGAACCAAGAGCTGAGAAAATAACTATGTTAATTAAAGAAATGGTATTAAGCCTTATTCTTTAGTTAGAGACCAAGAATTTAAACTAATTATGTATCTTGAACCTAAATATGTCATACCCTCTAGAAAAAATATGACAGAAACAGTTATTTCTTTAATTTATGAAAAAATGAAAATTCAAATTATGAATAAATATAGCAAAAGAAGATTTTTTAAGTTTTCGATGAATGGACTGCACATGGCAGTAGATTGCACATTGGATTAAGTCAGAATTTAAGCAAATTCATACAGTTATCAGTTTGCACATTGGATTAAGTCAGAGTTTAAACAAATTCACACAGTTATCAAAGTTTACAAAAGATTCTTTAAATGAACAAGAAAAAATAAAAATGCAATGCCTCCAATCTTACAGAAAACCAAAGGGTTATTAGCTGAGACGCTTATTTTAATTTTAAAACATTTTGAGAGATCTACTATAGAGACAATAGTGAAAATTATTATGTTATTTTAAAATGTTCCATTTCATCATTATATATAATTTAAATGGAAGTGCACCTAACATTTGCTTTGGAATATGCTGGAGGTTTTAAAACTATAATAGAAGAGTTAAAACAGGATTTAATCTTACAGTTTTTCAGCTTCAAACATAATAAATACTTGAACCTAAATAACACTAATGTTACTGATAACCCTTCCATTACCAATTATTTGACTCAATCAGATAATGAATCGATTTATGACTCAAACCAAAAGCTTAGCTCTCTACTCAAAAAAATAAAAAATGACAGAAGGTATATACAACTTTTATCAAATTTCCAAAGCAGACATTGAAATATCAAAATCAAAGAAACTGGAAAACTAAAAAAAACTTTCAACAGGCAGACAAATTTATAATTTTAAAACTAGAACTTTGCTAATTTCTTTTTCATATTTTTATTCATGCTAAATTGATTAAGAAAAACTTAACTTCAATTTATAATTAATATCAAACTTTTATTCATATAGTTTCATGAAAAAGAACATCTAGCTTTTTGTCCATGCAAATTGGAAATGCTTTAGAGAAATGGAAATAAAAAAATAGATTTATAGCTGGTATATATATGATAATATATTTGAACATTTTAAAAATTGAATTTATTGTTAACAAAGCAAAAGCTCTATTATATTTTTAATTGAATTGAATTTTTTTTTGTTAATTTATTTTTCAATTCACATTACTTGCATTTTAAAAATATTTATTACATTATTTTATGTTTGTATACAAAATAGAAACACAAAAGTAAAGTTAATAACATTTATAAAAAACTTGGCATTGGCAAATGGTTACCAAGGCCAATATTGACACATTGGCTAAATGGTCAATACATTGGTACACCCCTAGTAAAACCCTTAGTAACACCCCTAGTAAATGGTCGATACATTGGTACACCCCTAGTATTGTTTATATATAAACTAGATTCTCTAAGACCTATTGGTAATGGGTAAGCATTAAAAAAAAAATATATATATATATATATATATATATATATATATATATATATATATATATATATATATATATATATATATATATATATATAATATGTGATTTTTAATATTATGATATATTCTTTTAAATTTATTTAATATTGGTTGAAATTATTTTACTTTTATTTATTGTTTAAATATTTTATCTGTTAATAGCATAGAAACAAGTTCGGCAAAAACCGAGCCGACCTCGTTTCTATGTTTTATGGTCAGATCTTTGTATCAAATAATTTTTGCCAACTTGATGCTGACCTCAAAAAGATTGAGGTCACATCCCGTCACCTTTATTATATATATACATATATATATATATACATATATATATATATATATATATATATATATATATATATATATATATATATATATACACACAACCCTCGGATTTGAAAAAACTTTGAATAAAAAATATTTTTAGGGGTGCCACAAGACCTTTAAACATCAAACAGGTACCTAATATTACCAAAAAAAAAAGGTTTTTCAAAAGTATGTCATGTTAGGTCTCAAATGAAGTGAAACTGTTTCAAAGTTCAAAAATAATCATCATTTTATAAAAAAACATCGCCTTTAAAATATTATAATCAAAAACCTGGTTAAATTCCCTATTTTTTTCATTTTTAGTTCAAAAACATTGTTTTATGTTTACTAAAATCTAAAATAATAATTTTTTTAGGGTCGGCATTGCCGAATGCGGACCTGAAAGTGTTTGAGGTCGTTTGACCTCGTTTTTATATTTTATGGTCAGACCATTGTATCAAATAAATTTTGCCGACCTCAAAAAATAACTTATAATATAAATATAACATTATATATATAGAAACTAAAATTAAATAAGTTGTAATATATATATATATATATATATATATATATATATATATATATATATATATATATATATATGTTTTTTTTATCAATTTCAGTTATGACCAAAATTCAAAATTAAAAAAAAATGATTATCTTATAAAACAAAATTATTATTATCTCTTTTTAATAGATAGACATTATTATGTAAAAGATTTAGCAAAAATAATTGAAAAATTATTGAAAATATTTACTCAAAAAAATTTGTAGCTGATAATCAAATAGTTATATGTATGTTTTTTACTTACTGCATATATATCTTGAACTTGGTTAGCACTAGTAACCTCTGAACGATGGCACTTGAAGGTAAAATTATCTTTTCTATATAAAAAGCAAATAATAAAAAACAATGAGTTGAAAATAAGTAAACCTTCTAAAGATTTATAAATACATCTACAAAGATTTATAAGCACATCTACATAATTTTAAAAAACTTACGGATCTGCAGGTTGAATATATTGCATAGCTATTCTACCTTCAACAGAACCTAGAGCAAAACCAGTAGGGGCACCATTTGCATCTTTACAAATTGCTATAGACCGATGCTAAAAAAAATTTGAGAAATTAAAACTGAAAATAAAAAAAAAAATTTGATAAATCAAATGTTTAACACAGCTAGTAAAAAAAAGTTTATCATAAATTAAAAAATAAAATCTTTTATTTATGAGTTTTGCAGGTTTTTTTCTGCAGGTTAACTTCTGCAGGTTTTATTTGTATAGGTTTTTAATTCATTATTCAAATGATAAAATTATTCATTAATATAAAAAATTGCAACAAACATTTTTCACTAAAGTATATAATAAAATTAAATCTGTAGCTGCATTAACAGCAAACGAGTTAAAAATTCACTTTGACAGCTTTTGATAAAATACAACAATTCAATCCAAAAAATTTAAACAAAAATAGTTTTTAAGTTAATTTTTGATGCTAAATGTATGTCTAATTTGTGCTTGAAATTATTTACGTTTGCTGAATTGACGATTTCCAATCGCAATGCATTCCATAACTTTGCAGTTCTGTTTATAAGGAATTTGTGTCTCGGTATAAACTTAGTTTGTTCTCTTCTGTATTTCCTATTGTGAACTCTGCATAATTTTGAGAAAGTTTGTTTGTTTAAAAGTTCTATTTTTTCCATTTTATTGAAAATTATAAATACTTGAATAAGATCTACTCTTTATCTTCTTTCTGATAATGTTGTTAAACTTAGTGTCTATAAATAGTATTGGTACCACAGACTTCTTTTGTTCTTTTCCATCCTTGTCATGTTGTGCTGTACATTTCTAATATTTTAAATGTCCCCTTTGTAGTTTGGTGACCAAACTGGTGCTGCAAATTCAATCAGAGGTCTAACAAAAGTTGTGTATAATTGCTAGACAAGATGCTGATCTAAATAGACAAAGGTGTTTTTTATCATCCCCATTATTGCATGTGCTTTTGATGAACATATTATTATGTGTTTCTTCCATTTCAGTGACGTATCAAAATTTACATCAAGATTACATTTAGTTGCCCAATTGTTATTTTCTGACCCATTATCTGTGTAATTAAATTTTATGTTGTTTTTACCGTAATGAATAACCACACATTTATTTTCATTCAGTTTGATTAATCCTTTTTCTGACCACTCTTCTAAATTATTTAAGACTTTTTTAAGTTTTTGGTGTCATCTGCATATATTTTTACAGTACTTCTGATTTTCTTTGGTATGTCATTAATGTATGCTACAAAATTGAATGGCCCCAGAATGGATTCCTGTGGAACACCACTTAATACGTTTCACCGTGTTGACACACCATTAACTTGAACCACTCTTTGTATTTGATTATTCAAAAGCACATCAGTCCAGCTTAAAAATTTTCCCTTTATTCCATATGTGTTCAATTTTAACATAAGTCGCTTGTGTGGCATGGTATCAAATGCTTTTTTAAAATCTACCATTATAACATCTACAGTTTCTAATTAAATCTAGCAAATCTAGCATTATAACATGTTTATTATTTTCAAGCTGTTTTATTGAATAATGTTCAACCAGCACACAGTGGGCAAACACCCATTTTTGCAGATAATGGTTCATAACTTTTGAACGGAAAGTGCTATGAGGTTGATTACTAAAAAATAACTTTGCTGCAGGATATTTAGGTCATAATTTAAAAATATTAAAATTTTTATAAAATTTGTTTTTTTATTGGTTTTAACAAAAATATGTATAAATTTTTGTAAATATATATGTATATTTTGTAATACAAAGATAACATAGGTCAATGATAAATCAATGATAAAAACAATAAAAATTATCCAAAGAAGTACTAAAATATGTTAACATTTTAAAATGTCATCTTAAGATAAAATGTTATTAAAGACATTTTATTTATGAAAATATTAATCAGAATGTCCTCTTTCATAACAAAATTTGCAAAATGGTTTTGAGTTATATTTCTTGTCAAAAAGAATTTATCATATGATATCCACATTCGGTTAATGGTGTTTGTTAAATTGATAATTTAGGAGTTTTTTCTTGAGAGTCTAATATGTATCAATCTTAATATTTTGTTATTACTTTTTAATCCTAAATCATAAAGATTTCCTAAACCACTTTCCTCATTATTCAAAATTAGCTCCCAAGAATGACCAATTAGCTTGTGAAATGATGGTGTTATACTGATCCATGCTTCAGGCAAATTTATTTTTGTAACAGACGGAAACTTGTTAAATAGAAATAAATAAAAATTTGTACAATAGCTTTTATATTTATCCACATAAACTTTCTTTTTAAGAAAATTATGTGGATCAAAAAAATTTATGTGGACCAAAAGTTCAAACTAGTGCTCTCTACTGAGAGCACTATTTCTCACTTTTGAAATGTTGCATAATATTGATAAGACAATTGAACAATAATTAAATCCTTGTTTAATTTTTTTGTGCAATAGCTCTCTTAGTTATAAAACTGTTGTTGTTCCTCTTTTTCCAATTTTATCAGGGTAGTCCCAATTTATACCTGTTTATTTTAATATCTCTGTTTGTAATAAAGTCTCTGCTTGCTTTAGAAATCTATTTGAAGCACTGAAAATGGACTCAGACCAATCAAAAACACCAGCTTTCACACGCACAACAGTCTTCATGAAACCCAGTAAAGCATGAAGTACCTATAAAAATATCAGTAATTTTAAAATGTAATAATTTTTAATATCAAGTATATTCACATAGTAAGAATATAGAATAATATGAACACTATTACAAGATACCAATTTACTTGTATTGATTTTACATAACAGATTGGAATCGGTTTGAAGGTTTGTCCAGCCCTTGTGGTATAATCGGGGTTGTTTTTTTTTTAAGAAAAGATCCGCCTTCTTGTTCAAGTTGGTTAAATATACTTTATTCATAGATATAGTGTCTCAATTGATAACAGAACCTTTTTCAATTCTTTCAATACTCAAACACTGATTTTTTGAGCATATGCACAGATCACAATATGCATATCCAAATCCTAAAAAAGATTCGCTGCTTTCATACCCATTATATATGACTGAGTTATCACCTTTATGTTAAATTGTTTTCCCTCTTTATACATAAGGAAATGTTTATTTTTTAACTCTTTAATATCAGAAATAAAGACAGACAAAAATTGAAGAGTTTTAATTCAATTTTTTAACAAGTGAAAATGGACAGAACATTGTCAGTATGATATTGCTATTTTTAACATCTATTATTTAAATATTGCATGTCTTCCACTACTATCAAATCCAAACTTTATTTTCATTAGTATATTTTCAATGTTTATATCGAAAAAGATGTTCTCCAATATCCTTTGCTTTGTCAGTTTAATACCTTAAAATATACTGAAGTAAATACCAGAATAAGGTTCAAGATAATTCATAATAATTGTTGTTACTTCAGATCATTTTCTTCTGAGATATTTCCAACAGATATCAAAACCAGCAATTGAAAAAGTTTTTTTTTGGTTTGTATATGAATGCCTACCAAGAACCCAATCTGTTTAAATTGACATACTTTTCAAGCAAGGTTTCCTTACCAGTCTTGAATAATATGCCAGCCCATTTTTTTAAGTTTGTTTTTATTCAGATGCAGATCTTTGCCAGCTATGGCAAATGTCAATTTATCGGAGCCAGGTGCCTTAGCAGTTATCAGTATCCAACCTATTATATTTGCAGAAATAGTTTTTGTTTATTTTCCTCAGCAATAAAAATTTCAAATGTCTTAATCCTTTTTTAAATTTCTAGATATACACTTTTACTGAACACATCTTCCCCTTTAAAAAAAAATAATGTAAAACTATTTGCATTAATACTTTTTAATATATTTTATAAAAAAATAAACTAAAGGAATAGAGCCATTCCTTTACTTTTTTTTGTTTAAAAGTGCCAAGTTAGCACAATTTAGTTAAAAAGCATCTTATTCCTCTTTGTTATAGAAATTTAAATATATATGGGTTTACTAGTGCCAACTTAGCACTCAAAATTTTACTAAATCTTAGTTGTTTCATTAGGTACTATATGTAAAAAACGTCTTTGTAAGAATATAATTTAAATTAACTACAAATAATTATAGTACAAAGCTGTATTTATTTATTATATTATTTTTAAAATTAGTCTTCAAAGTTCTTAAAAAACAACTGCAAAATCAAACAAAAAAATGATTTAAATATATATTATATAAGATATAATAAACATAAATATATAATGCATATATGTATAAAGTATAATAAATAAATATAAAAAGAATGTACTAACATAATATATAAACAGAATTTAAGTTTCAAAAATAAAGCTCCACATACTTGGTATTTAAGAGGTGACTCAATTTTCTATAAAAGAAAATAAAAATTTCTACAAAATATAAACAAATTTGTTAAATAATTTATTATTTTCTCACCTGTGCATATAATATTCCTTCATTTGTATTTAATAGTTATTATATATATAACAAAAACTATTTAATAGTTTGTTTTTGTTTTCAACATCTTTGCTTCAAATATGGCTGCAAGCAACCACTATTAGAATTGAAATTTACTGGAAGAGAAAAGATGAAGTTTACAGAGCAAAATAACAATTGACAGACGACTTAAACAATTGCGAATTAATATGAATCATGAAAGCAAGATGAAGGAAGCGAATTCCAAAGAACTGATGCTTGAGGAAAAAAACTAGACAAATGAAAGTTTTTGGAGCACTTAGGAATAGTCACAGAAAAAGGATGAGACTTAATTGAAAGACACAAGAAACACAAGAATAAGTTTTAGAAGATGGCACAAAAGATGCAATCTCTTTAGAGCAGTGTCCATTATAAAATTTGTAGAAAAGAGAAAGAGTAGCAACATTACATCAATGTGATAATGCTTGGAGGTTAGCTGCAAGAGCAGGTCCAACTATGTTTACAATGCATTTTACAACTTGTCTAAAAGATAAAGGACATCATTGGAAGATCCACCCTAAATATGGCAACAGTATTCTATTTAAGTATTAAATTTTGTTTCTATACAAGGACGGATTTGATAATTATAGAGATAAAAAAATAGAATCCGGAGAAAGAAAGTGTCACGCACAATAATAAGATGCAACCTCAGCAAACGCTAGTTTTGCAATGGATTTGATATATGGTTTCCAAGAAAAATTGGAAGAGTTAATCCTAGAAGATTAAGGGCAGATGACTCGCCGCCATCAAATATAGGAAGATCTAAATTATTGCGGTATAGATTGGTTGAAAAATATTAGGTTCTATCTGAATTAAATTATTAAAGTTATCTGTAAATCTGCACATAACTATAATATTTGCATTTTCTATTTTTGCACACAAAAATTACGCCTCTTGCATTTATTAACTTTATGGCCAATTACAGTCATAACATTGAAAACAATTTTATAAATAAAGAGAATATCATTAAAATTGATTGAATGGTAGTATTTAAAAAAGTAATAAAAAAAAAGAAATGAAAAAGAAATGAAAAAAAAGAAAGTAAAGAAAGAAAGCACAGTGGGTTAGGTAGGTTTATATTCAGAAACAAACTGTAAACTTCTTAGCAATTCAATGATTCATACAAAACATTCAGTTAGGCTTATCTATAACAATTAACAAAAATTGTAAAATTTGAAAATATAAATTTTGAAATTAAATTTTAAAATAAATTTGAAATATATGTAGAAACTCTGGTGGTAGCACAAGCCTTACAGGAATAAATATGTTTGAATATAAATTTTGTTTCAGGCATAAAAGTAAATAAACGCTGTTTCAACCATAAATACATAAATTAGGTTAAGAGCAAATTATTTTTTAAACACTGGTTTAAAAAATAATTTGCTCTTAACCTAATTTATGTATTTATGGTTGAAAACAAATCCAATAAAGTATTAAATAGACACTCTAGTGTCTATTTAATACTTTATTAGATTTGTTGGTTTGCTGCTAAACTTTATATGACACAATATGTTATGTGGTTAGTTTAATAACTACATAACATATTGTGTCATATAAAGTTTAGCAGCAAACCAACAAATCTAATAAAGTATTAAATAGACACTGGTGAGCCACATCATAACAGAAACTGCGTCAAAAAAAAAAAAGTAATACTGCAGAAAAATGGTAAAATTGCAGTAACAATAAATATGTTAATACTAGTAACAATAAAACAGATGGGAATGCAACAAGGAATTATTTATTGTGATAGAGTGGGAGCAGAGAAATATAATAATAATGGAAAAATACAGAGAGACTGATGCATAAATCTTAAATAATGTTGCTTTAGGTAAAGATGATGGTTGCAAATACATACTTTACAAACCTTTTTATCACAAATATAAGATTATGTTTTTTACTTCATTTGTATTTGAATTGATTTAAACTTAAAATGTTAAAAAATAATTGCAAATAGTTTACTTTAAATTCTGCTGGTTCATTCATCAACTGGTATACAAGAATTCCACGTTGTGCAGTTGATACAACTGCCATTGGATATATTACATCTGCACAATAAACCTTTTCCATTGTGTTAAATGATTTTATTGGAGTGGATTGTCTGGTATCCCAGAACTTAAGAGTTTTATCCCAACTTCCTGTCATTAAACACTGGTAGTTTGGTGCTTGAATCCAGTGAACTGTTTTAATTGGAGCATCGTGCTAAAAAAATTTATTTAAGTATAAAATAATAGACTCATCGTTAAAAAAATTATCATCATATATGTTATCATCAAACCTGAGCACAGACTACAGCTTGGTTTGAAGCCAGATCCCAAATTTTTGCTTGATTATCAGCACCAGCTGAAAAAAGTTTTGTGCCATCCTAAAAATAAACTTAATAACAATACAACACTCACACTAACATAAATAACAACAATAACAACAAAAACAGCAACTGCTATAATTACCTCAAAAAAATTATCATTTGTATTACAAATTTATCTCTAAATCTATTATATCTAAAACAAAAAAATTTACTGCATGCCAGCAACAAGACAAAATTGGCTTCAAATGAGATTGTTCAGCTTTTGGTACACTTGTTCCAGTTGCTTGAATCTCCCAACAGCGAATCTATTATTAATTATGCAAATCATAAATAAAAAAATTGTTTTAATAACTCTTTGTACTTCTGTATATCACATATTGATATATAGGATAACTTTTAAAAGTAATGAAACATTAGGCAGTTTTTTTGTTGCCAAATAATTCAGTATTTTATGATGTATTTTAAGATGAGGTATTTAACACACCCATGCGATAAAGTTTGGTATAGTATGGTAATTTTTAGCAGAGTTGTTAGTCCTTGGCCTTGCCATAAGGCCAAAAATTAAGGCCTTGGTCTTGATCTTCAAAATGTTGGCCTTTTTTCTTATGTAGTTTTATTTTCAGCTTTCATATATATCTACAAATATATTTTCTTATTGACTTCGTTGAATTCTCCACATAATCTTAATTTATTTTTACAACATGTGGTTTTATTGTCACAGCAATTGTTACCTAAAGTTTTATTGATAATAGCCTAAATTTAAGGCAAAAATTTAAATTTTTATTCTTGTGTTTGCGTAGACCTTGGCCTTGAAACTCTTATTCTTGGCCTTGACCTTAAAACTCTTGGCCTTGGCCTTGTAACTTTTAGCCTTGGCTTTGGCCTTGTAACATGTGGCCTTGCTATTTTTGACCTTGTTAACAACTCTGTTTCTTAGTGCTGATTTATATGAGCCATAAAATGTTACTTAATAAATTAAATTAGACATAATTTCACCACCCAGTAAGACATTGCCATAATAAAAAAGGCAATACTAATGAAAGCTAAAATATAGTTAAAATTAAAGCCTTCAATTTTAAAATAAAACAGTTTTACTTTTTAAATTTATAATTTTAAATGGATTAATGGTTCAACGAAAATATTTTATAAACGTTCGAACCTTATTATCCCAAGAAGTAGCTGCCAAAAAATTTGCGTTTGGACTAAACTTCAAGCAACTAATTGTATCAGATGGTGGTTGTTGTACTTCAACATCTTTAGACGCTGTTGTCAAAGAAGAGCCAAAGCTAAATGAACTTGTCCCACCAAATAATGACATTTTTGATTTTGTTCTTATCTGGAAAAAAAAACCTAAGTTAGATAAATTTAATTTGTAAAAAAAATATGCTTTAAATGTTTTTAAACAAATTTCATGCCAGATTATCGTAAAATAACAACACTTTACTTCTACTTTAAGTGCGCATTTTAACTATTTTATCTTCTTTAGATTTTTTTAAAGTCGATTTCGGGACTTTATAAATCATTTCGAAAAGTGCAATAAATAACTAGTTATTAATTGCAATTAATTGCCCTTAAGTTAATTAAAGGGCAGTTTAAAGTTTTAAAAGGCAACGCGAACTATTGTCAACAAAAACAAACCACGCGTATATTAGGACATTCTAGGGAACTAGGCATTTTATAAGAATTTTTTTTAAAGTGTTTTTAAGGATTTTGTTGTTTATAAAAAAATGCATAATTACATGACTGGGGTAAGAAGAAGAGAAGTTAAGTTTTAATCCCAAGCTGCTTTAAAAATTGATTTTATAAAAAATAAATAGGGAACTGTTCTTTTTAGAAATGACTTTTCCTCCCCTTTATTTTGTTGCTTTGCGTTGAACAGATTCAACCAAAGCCATATCAGCTTTTAAATAAGGAGCCTATATGGACACTCCATATTCAAGATGTGGTCTTATAAATACTTTATATAATTTGAGAGCCATTTTTTCATCAATGAAAGTGAATGTCTTTTTCAGCATACCAAGAATTTGTAAGGACTTAGAGACAACTGTTTGAATATGAGCGCTCCACTTGAGGTTAGATGTAAAAATGACTCCTAAATCACGTTCTTTAGTAGAGCTTCTTAGACATTGGTTGATTCCTTGGTTATTTTGTAGAAAGTAATTGTAATGGGGGTTTTTTCGACCGTATGGAATGACGCAGCATTTTGAGGTGTTTAACTTAAGTAACCAAGTGTTTAACCACTCGTATACCAAGCGTAGACGATCCTGCAGATCAACAAAATTAGATTGCGATAAGGTTTTAGAAAAAAGTTTAGTATCATCGGCAAATATCTCAGAAGTTTCAGTGAGTTTTGCAAGATCATTTGTGAAGAGAATGAAGAGGAGCGGGCCGAGAACAGAACCTTGAGGAACACCACTGAGAACATCAACCCATGCAGAGTTGGTATTGTTAATTGTAACGCGTTCCTTTCTTCCCACTAAAAAGGATTTAATCCATTGTAGGAGTTTGCCGTTTATTCCGAAAGATCTTAATTTTAACAAAAGTCTGTTGTGAGGTACAGAATCAAACGCTTTGGCAAAGTCAAGATTTTTGTAAAAAATAAAATTTTTCAATATTGTTAAAAACAAAAAATAAAAAAAATAAAATTAACTTTGTAACATTTTTTTTCCATAGAAAATGCTATGAGTCAACTTGCCCCGTGTAAATTTTTTTCAACTTGTTTTTCTTTTTTCCAATAAACTTTCAATACATCTTGAAAAACAGCAACTATTAAAAAAAAAAATTGTAAATAGTAAACCAGTCGTAACCGAAATTTTTTCAAAAAAATATTTTGTACATATATATATTCTTTCTTTTTATATTTGATTTATGATTATTAAATGTAAGAATTTTTTAAATCAGACTTTTTAGTGATATGGAGATATATATATATATTATATATATATATATATATATATATATATATATATATATATATATATATATATATATATATATATATATATATATATATATATATATATATATATATATATATGGAGCTCTTGTCTCCTCATCTAAGCAAAATAAAATCGACTAAACAGTTCAGACACATTACCGATCCGTTTTGAAAATAAGCGAAGTAACAATGACTACATGCCACTTACTGCTTCTTTGCTACTTATTTGGGTTTACTGCATTTTTGCTTTTAGTTTTGCAAAAACTATGGGTTTATTGTTTATTTTCTTAATTTCAAATGCTTATTTTCAATGTTAAATATTGGATATACTTTTTTTTTGCTGCAAAAAATGATACGAAGCCGCATAGTAGCAGGTAGCATTGCCTAAATATTGACCAAAATTGGAGATACTGCTTTTTTGCTTAGCAGTAGTCAGGGCCGGCGCCAGCATTTTTTGGCTTTTGAGATAGCTAACTTCCAGAAATGGAGCAAACTCCAAAGTTTATGTGTTTATACTTATGTCAAATAAGGAGGCTTTGCAAAAAAATGCGATGATTGGAGCTTGGGAACAAAAAAGTCCCAAAATTATGGCGTGTCCCAATCGTGAGAGCAACAAGTTGATGAAATATTTTTTGTACTATTTTCAACTTAACTTATATTCATCGATAAATTTTAAGTTTCGTAGTATTATCTCCCAGCGTTCAAAAATTATGACAATATAAAATTTGCGAAAACCCTCAAATTGAGGAGGGTTTAAACTTCATATGGTCATACTTTTTAAACGCTAAAATATTTTACTACGAAAATTAAAATTTATTGATGAATATAAGGGTGGAATGCAAGAAGTGAACTTGAGTCAAGCTCGACATTGCAACCAATAGCGGCAGAGTATGAGTTTTCCCCTCAAAAAACACTCTGCCGCTATTGGTTACAAAGTAAAGTTCAAGTCGAACTTGACTCAAGTTTGCTTCTTGCATTCCACCCTAAGTCTAGTTGAAAATAATACAAAAAATAGTTCATCATTTAGTTGCTCTCACATTTGGGGCAGGGTTATCAAAAAATGCATAAAACTTCTCGCTTATGAGGCGAACGTTCTGCCACTACACCACTACCGCATTATCTGTGTATGCGTGTTTGTGTGTGTGCAGCGGCGTAACTAGGGGAAGCATAACCCCGCAAGGCGGGGGGGGCGGAGCTTAGAGGGCCCCGCGGAGATTTACACATTTTACTCATATGAATAATATGACTGGTAATAATAATATGAGTGTTACTAATTTCTGTTTTATCAAATACATTTTATGAATTTATAATTTTTCACGTATCTCTACGGGTATTTTTGGAGAAAAAATTTAAGGAGGGCCTTTTTACTTTTTTAGCGAAGGGGGGGGGGGGGAATATAGAGTTACGCCATTGTGTGTGTGTGTTTCGGTACAACATAAAAAGTTTGTAATTTGTAAGAAGATTCGTCATTTTTCTCAGAAGTTGTCCTTTAGTTACGTCAACAAAATGGGCTTACAGCTTGAGGCATCTTCAATACTGCGAAAGGCTAAAAAGATTATACCTACCATCACTTGAGTTTCGACGCCTTCGATGCAATTTAATCCAAATTTTTAAATTAATACATCGTTTTAATATAGTTAATGATAAATATTTACCAAAATATATTAACTCCATGTCTCGTGGTCACCATTCTAAAATAAGGCGTGCGTATGTTCCAAACTGTCTTTCAAGATATAATCATTTGTATAATAGATCAGCAAAATACTGGAACGAACTACCAGACCAAATAACTTTGTACTGCACTGTACTTTCCTTCAAAAATAGACTAGACTCCTGGTTGTGGAATAAGTTTGGAACAAATATTTATAAAACTGGTTGTTTATAGTGGGGTGTTTTCCCTGCTCGCTGTATGTGTACATTCTATGTAAATTTACGGCTACAACTATAATAATAATAATAATAATTAAAAAAAAAAAATTTAGAAAGTTTTATAAAATGTATTTTTAACAGATAAAAAGTGGACTACTGTTTCGGCTTGTTATACAAACTAATATTTAGTATCAGCTGAAAGCAAGATTAAATTTTTGGCTTAAAACTGTTACCAAAACGAATTGTAAATAAAATTCTAAAAAAATTTGGTAATTATTAGTACATTAATATTCATTTTTATTGTTTGCGCCAATTTACTTCGGGGTGGGGTAAGTTGGGGAACTTTTTATTTTTTTTTTAAAGCCGCAGGAAAGTTTTTTTTATAATGAATTTAAGTTTAAAATGTTACCTAAATTCATACTGCGTCTTCGAATTGTAAAAATCTTTGAGTTCTAGAGCTCAAAGAATTAAAAAAAGGCAACTAGACCCGGTCTCTCCAACAAAATTTTTATATAGATTAAAATCAAAAAGAAAGTAATTTGGAGATTTATTTTGCCAGTTTTATTATTATGAAAATAATACACGAAACGTATACGAGTTTCCACAAGTGATTCTTTGGAAATGTCCTACTTTTCTCAAATTTATGCTTTGTGTTATCAGTGTTATCATTTACCAAACATTTGTTTGGCTGTTTGTGAGTCAAATAAAAATATCATTTACCTTGTCAAACACTTGTTTGGCTGTTTGTTAGTCATATAAAAATTACAATGCAACAATATTGGGCAATACGGAATGTTAATCGGTACACAATAATAACTATTACTAATTTTTTGAAAAAATTATAACTAAAAAAGTTAACAATTTTTTTATCAATTTAGTTTTTTTGTGGATAAAAACTCAAAAATTACAATTTTGAATGATGTAGATATAACCCAGTGGGAAAAAAGACGTCGAAAAGACGTCTTTAAAAGTCTTATTTACGATGTCTTTAAGACGTCTTTTTTTAATCGATTATGCAAATCTAAAAGACATCTTTTTTCGACATCGAAAAGACGTCTTTTTCTATCTTAATCTTGTCATAAAAAGACATAAAAAATGCGTTTAAGACGCCTTTTTTTAGTCGAATATGTAAAACTAAAAAAGTTTTTTTTTTTAGGGTCGGAACTACTTTTTTGCCATACTTATTAGTATACTATAGTATCCTATACACTATAGTATTCCTACTTTTCTCACATGAAAAGCTATTTTTTTTTAAATGAAAATGATAATAGCACTTCATACAAAGTATAACAACAAGCTTTTTCCGATGCCGAGAAAAAAAACCTCTTTTAGATGTCAATATAAAAAAGGAAGCATTTTCTACATCTTTTATATGCTTAAATATAGGAGAATAATTTATAAATAAAACAATAGTATTGTTCAACAGAATATTTTTTCATCTTTCTCTTTTCTGTTTCTTGAGCGAGCTTTGTTTCTTGGCGTTGTTGAATAAAATTAACAATTTCACGTCGAGAAATCCTTTCATACGAGCAGGTTCTTCTAGCTGGTGAC